CCCCCCCCCCCCCCCCCCCCCACTGTGCCATATTTAAGCCTCTCCGTTTATAAGCCCATCCAAAGCCCCTTACGAAGTTGTATAAGCCCAGGGCAGTTTACGGCAGTCTCCACCCGATCTCCCGAGTACTAAAATCTCTTTCTAGCGGAGCTCCGGCGGAGAACCATACTCATAGGTACCCATGAATTGCTTTTCTCATGGTCACCATGGCTAGCGGTATTGCTCGTGGGCGCTTACTCATGACGATGACGACGGTGACAAAATCGCGCAAAATGGCGGCCATACTCCGGCTTATTGGTTGACCGAGACATGCAGCCTTGGTTTACAGTGTATAACTTTGATATTAGACATCCATGTTATGAGCAATTGATACCTGTTTAATCAAGGTATCCGCTGGCCAGTGTCACGTGACCATATCGCAGGGTCAAGTTTAGAGCTCATCGAAGTCACTTGTTTTTTTTTTTAAGTTGACTGCTGCCCAGGTACTGGTTTTTCAATTGCATTGCAGGCTCAAGTACTTATTGTAATCAGAGCCAAGTTAATGCTAACCCTGGGTTAAAAGTTAATGGAAGTATAAATTTTTCTTGTATAAAAATGTTTATCACTGCTTATGTTTAGTGTAGTTTGAAATAAATATTCAAACTCAAAACAGAAGGCCAAACAATATAAACTGAAAACCTCACAGCAAAGTTACAAAACTCAAATGAAAATTCTTGCCTCTCCTGGGTTAGCTTAATCTGGCTTTGAACAACCTGGCCCAGGCTTTTAGGCTTGGCCAAATCTAAATATTAGCATTTTCTACTTTGTGTGCTTTACATTCTTTTAACAGTGTACAATACAATCAAAAATAATTATTATTGCCGTTAATATTGTGGGTTTAAACATTTGTGCAAGCCCACACAGAAATGATTTGCAATATCAACTATGAAATGGAAAAGGAATAAACAAATGGGGTTGTTGCACAGCAATTAAGAGGAAATCAGCTTTTGCTCTCTCCTTGTTTGACATTCGAAAAAGGCTTCTGGCATCACAAAAATGTAAATGTAGTTTACGAAGATCAGAGAAGATGCTGACAGCATTTAGGTTTAGTATTTTCATTTATTACTAACAATACATGTCATTTCAGGGTTTAAATACTCCCAAATATGTAAATTTTATATCTGCTGTTATTTATATAATCAATTTATCATTTCATCAATCATTCCCTATAAGTGCTATGTACTACTGCCTACTTCTTAGTGAATCGGTTTAAATAACAGCTAAAGCTCTGTACAACAAGACAAAATTTCTGTCTGCAACGGAGACAAACAGTATCTGTGCAATAGTTAAGTATTCATTAATTGCAATTAACCACTTGCATTTTATGGTCTTTCTTCTAATAGGTTCACACAACAGCAGCCTACTGGTACTCTAGAGGATTCTCAACTTTGAGAGGTGAAGAATGGCACCTAATACATCATTGGTATTGGGAACTTTTGATCCTGAATTAGAAAATTCAGAATCCTTTGTGAGGAGTCATGGAGTTTTGTTTCAGTCTGAAATCTTGCAAGTTTTGGTTTCTGAAGTTTAAATAAGGTTCTTGACCTCTCAGCAAGTCTCGGATCTTATTATTCATCACCCTTCTTTGGCCACTGTACATTATTGTTTCTCCAGCTAATTAATTAGCATATGTTAAATGCTCATTGGTACAAATTTTATTATCTCTATGAGTAATGTGAAATAAAGTCAAAAAACCAGCCTTAAATCAAAGGAAATCTCAAATTGTTTTGTCCTTGCATGTACCTGAACCTAAAAATCATCTGTTAAAATATTTATCATTCTCTCTAAAATGTATCTCTGAAAATATTAAACTGCCACAGGAATGGACATGCAATGTACAAGCAAGCAGAATTTTCTATTGTTACCAATGTTTTTAAATTACTGTATTACATAACTTGTCCTTCTTTCTCTCTAGATTTCCCCTACACTGCAATACAGTCCACCTCAATTTCTTTGAAGAATGCACTTACATGTTTGTAAAATGTAAGCAAACAACAGATGTGTATATGATCACTGAACCATCTGTCACAGTGACATGCATATGGCAATCCCCTTCTCTTTGTAAACTTTATTATGCGTAATTATATGGCATACATTACCCAAAGGCAAGTCAAAGAAATAGAAATGGCTTGAAGAGTGGGTACTAGGGAAGGAAAGCAGAAAGTTGAGAGAGGATCTGGGGAGTAATTCAATGTTTAATTTTATCCGCAGTGTTGTTATTGATCTTCTCCAAAACGTCCCAGCCCATCCAAGCATTTGATTTCTTTTGGTCTCTTGAGGGAGATCATACCTTAGAACCATAATGACCTAAAAAAGCTATCTAAGAGCCTTGTACCATGGAGGATGTTTTTTGAAAGTGCAACATCAATCTTTTGTAGTCTAACATGTAAGATATTTCCAATAATCACACAGTTGTTTCTCTGTAAATTCCTTCATCAACAAAGCTAACTTCACCACATTGTCTTCCCACGTTTGACTGGTGATTTAATTTAGACAGCTGTCTCGATCTCCACACTCGAATGGTGTGATCATCGCTAGCACTAACCAACATCTCTTCATTGACAGGGTTAAATGCCACGCAATTTACTACATCACTGTGTCCCTTTAGAGTGGCCAGCTTGGCTCCAAAGTGTCTGTCCCAAACATGGGTGCAATGATCCTCAGCTCCACTAGTCAGAGATAATAAATAGAATTATTGCCAATATGACATAGCAAAAGCAATTAAATAAATAAATAATGGAAAATCACTTGCCACAAATGACCTGCTTCTTTAGAAAACAAAACGATAGGTAAGTTTCACTTCAAATCTTTATAGGATTGTAAGATGCATGGATGAGTAGTTAAGGTACCAGACTTAGCAGACTTAAAATCCTGAGATCGCAGATTCAAGTGTCATTCAGACCACTTAGCTGGTGGCATTCTCAGTAGTCCACAGTTCTACATGTACATGTATCTTTGAGAGGTCCTGTAGGACATGACTGTAAGCTTAAGGTTTCTGTTTCCGAGGAATTGTACCAAGCATACGCCTTTTCTACATTGAACATTGAGACACAAATGTTTTTTTTTGATTTGTCACACCAATTCATTTTCTTTCACATGTAGAATTTTCTGCACAGCATATATAGGATAACTACTGCTTGTCTGAACTTACCTTGCAACCAGATTGTCCGCAACATTCAGAAAAATAAAGAAACAGCCATCATTAGGAGTGTATGCCTTATGGCCGACATGAACACCAACAAGTTTGTATGTGGTCAAACTGTACACTTGCAATGATATATCTTTGGAGATTTCTGGAGGAAGCTGGCAGTAGCCAATTTGACCATCTTGCTTCTCCCACTGGCGACAATTCACATAGAGATACTCGTGGTCAGGCGATAAGCTCATTCCAATTATGTGTGCGTTGGTTTCAATGCAGTGGTTTGGTTTGGAAGAGAAGGACTGGTATTCACTTGAACACATTTCAGTATCTTCCTCCTGTCCATTGTGGGAGGAGTTTTTCCTTGCACCTTTGTGATTTTTGCTGGTGCCATTTGTGTGTCTTAACCACTTGAAAACTATTTGATGAGGGACATAAGTCATTGTGCCATGAGTAAAAATTAGACAAATCTGATCGTCTTGTTCACGAATAGCAGAGGCATAGGTGCGTTGTAAACCGCCACTTGGTCTTGCGACAAGAACAGTCCGTACTGAGCTAGAATTACGGTTAACAACACGTGTTAGGTTTATCTGATTTTCTGGCAATTCATCAACACAATTTGCCCAAAGTTCTGAGACTGATGACCCATCATTTTCAGATTCCAGAAATTCAAATGTTCCTGATATGTAACACCTCTCAGTCAACCATGCTCCAAACACATCATAGGGTTCATTGTTAATCCCATGAACCAATCCAATGACAGACGATCCCTGAAGCTCACATATAAAAATTTCACCTGGTAAAAATATACACAAAAGAAAAAATAAATTATGATAATAATGGTAATAGAAAATAAATCATGCATAGAAAATAATTAAACGAACAAATAACCAAACAAACTACAAGCAAAACAAAACAAAATAATTACAAATAAGCTTCAATATTTATTCTAATCCATTCACTCACCTCTAAAGCTGAACTGTCGCAACTTGTTTACCCCTGATACGAGAAGCAAAGTGTCGCTTGCATTGAACTCACAGAACTGAACGTACTCCCAATTATACTCTTGGAAATTGATCTTCTGGGCAATACCAACACGATTACAGTTACTCACACGCCACAGAATCACACTGCAATCTTTGGAGCTTGAGGCGAAAAGTTGGCCATCATGAGAAAACGCAACATGAAGGACTTCATCGGTGTGTTCCTCAAGTACTTGACTTTCCACAAAAGGAGTCTTAGAGTGAATCCTTTGAAACTCTGCCAACCAAGAAGTGGATGAATTGGGAAGCTTAACCTTATTCATACCAGGATTTAAAGTTCCTTGAAGTAAGAATTTCCACAGCATTTCATCTTTGGACAGGCGATGCCAGTTTCGGCAGACTTCACCGGCAAGTAACACTTCCTTCGGGGAAAGAAAGCAAAAGATATGCAAAAGAAGGTTATCTGGGAGTTCGGTCCAAACAGATTTCGCCGATGATTCGTCCAACAGCTCTAACAAAGTTCCTGGACCTCCGGTACCTTTTTGAGTTTCGTCTGCAATGAGAGACATTGTTTTTAAAATGCTGCTTCACTGTAATGACGCTAGTTAATTTTCTGCCCGGAAAAAATGCTAGTCTTCCGCGCCGCCATCTTTCTGCATGAACTTAGTAGCCGCGCAAAAAAGTCTAAACATAACCTCACCCACCCGGCCCTCAAGTTAAAGTTTGCAGACTGGACTAATGCATCCTCGTCCCCAGGGTCTTCTCCCGAGGAGCCGTTGAGGGGAGAAGACCCTGGGGAGAGCTTTCAGGTATGCGTTTTAGATAGCGGCCATTCTTGGAAGGAACGGCGATGACTTCGCAAAGACTGAAATAGAAAGCTTTCGCGATACGGCTGGTTGAAGTCACTCTTCACGGCCTTTTACCCTTTAAAACACAGTACTACTCTTCAAGAGTAGCCGAAGCCTATGAGAATGATGCAAATATCGGTGAAGACGTTAGATTCACAGACAAAAGTCTTCACGGTGCCCGACGAGGTAACTACCCAGGAAGCGAAGTTTTATCGAATTTTTGATAAATTACATACAACCTTTCAGTTTTATGAACATTTTATGGCCTTCCTTTTACATTTTATTTACTTAGTGATTCATTTGACTTCAAAATTCACTGTAAAGCACAGCTTGAACTCTTTTTAGACTCTTTTATCGAGGTAATTTTTCACAACGACATCTTCGCGGCCATCGAGCAGTTCTTCTGTTATGTCGGTTTGAAATGTGTCTTGTTTTTGGCAGTGTACCGTAAAGGAATTCAAGGAGCATATTTCACCTGATGTGGTAAGTGTTAAAGTATAAGATGATATGACTACGCTATGAACTAGCTAGCTTGAACATACAAATGTAGCCCTATAAAGCTACATATATACACGTATTTTACAAACAAAACTGAAAGCAGAAAAAATCATGGCGGGTTTAATTCACGTTTCGTATAGGCGTAGCATGGAAAGGAAAATCTTTTTTAGCTCATGTGCTTGCTGTCGAGTGCAGAAACTTCTGCTGCGAAGTTTGGCTGACTGTTAATTATTCTCTTCGCCCAACTATGTCGGCTATGATTTATTTTCTTGCAATTAAACTTGGTATATCAAATGAATTAAGGAAGTTCTTTAAAATGCACGGTTGTGCAACACAGCATCGAGTGGTAAAAGCTGTCCTTGCAGCTGCCTGGAGGTTGACATGCAAACAGGATAAGTATTTGGGTCATTCTGTCTTTGTGTTGCCCAGATGCTGTGAAGGCTAAAATACAAATTAAAGTGATTATGTTTTCACAGGCAGAACTTTATATTTACCTCCGAACACAGGCCAAGGCCTTTGAAGGCCCTTGTTTTTCGATTATATAGAGACCGGTGTTGTCTCTTGTTGTCTTTTAGCTTTACTGATCTTTACACTTCTTGTGCGAATCCACCTCTGTCCCTCTCATGTGATGTTGAATTCTGAATATCACATTCCAGTATCAACCATTGATGTCCCATTTCCCACCCTTGTCATCAACTGGTCAAATGCATCAACATGTTGAATGCCTGGGGTATGTCTTAGGAGGAGAGGGGGGGGGGTGGGATTGATGTCTCTACATATAGAAATTGGATCAGCTTTTAATTAAAGATGCTGTGTCTACTTTTGTGAGTCCTTGCACGTGTGTTTAGCATCACACAAGATAAGGTTTACATGGTACGCATGCGTAAGGGTTGACACATTGACGTAATTAACTGAGTTACCAAGTACATGAATAAAATAAAAGCTACATTTTCCTACTGTGACCAAATCAAGTTTAATGAACTTTTACTAGAACCAGGAACACCAGAATAGCAACACATCGCTAACCAGTAACTGTTAATTATTTAATAGTATATTTTTATTTTAGTTATTTATTTTGTTCTCTTGTTTAGCATTTTGTGAGGTGCATTTGAAAATGTACATGTGTGTCAAATTTGTGCCATATAAATTCTTACTAAATATTACACATCAGAGATGTATAGTTTATTATTTGGTTGAAACATGAATGGTATACATTCCATCTAGAGGATTATTTTTAAGGCTACTTGTTTTGCAGTCTGGCATACTGGGTAATAAGTAAATACGTTGTACAAGGTGCTGTTTTGATTTGCTAATTTATCGCTTAACTACATGTAGTTTGTTGTTTATAATTTTATTGTTACAATGTACTTGTGATTAATGTGGATGCCCTACTAATTTTTTTCAGTATCACATTTCCATCAATTAATGACCACTTTAGAAATGAGAAGGTGCCTTCATAGTACATGGAGCAAGATTTCCAAATTAAACAATCCTCATTTCTCCGAAATTTTTCATTGTTTTTTGAGCTGTCACATGTACACTGTACAGATCTAAAGAACATTTTTACTTGACATCAGATGGTGCTTGTTGACAATAAAATTTCTTTCTTTTTCAATATAACAGTTATTCTAGAAATTATCAGTGAATGGCTTGCACTGTGTTCTCTGATTATCATTTACGAGTCTTCCTAATGTGGTAATGGACTTGTAAAGCCCCAAAATGCCCTGCATCACAGCAGGGATTTACTTAACCCTTAGGATTCACTTTTTACTATTTAAATTACCTTCTTCAGAACATACCTCCTGATAAACAAAGACTTATATTTAAAGGCAAGGTCCTTCAAGATGATAAGAAGCTCTCAGAGTATGGTAAGTCTCAAAAGTTATACTTTCCACAGATCAAGATGTACAAGTTACAATTATTATATTTGATGACAACTTAAACGGTCCTAGTCAGCCACACCTTTGTTTTTGTTTACATGCGATAGTTTTGCTGTTGTATTTTTTGAAACAAAGGAAATCATCGTAAAACTACTAAAGATAATTAAACATGCTTTCAGGATCACAACTTGCACCATGCAATATCAATAATTTTGATGGCATCCAAAATGGCGGAGACTGACTAGGGTCCTTTAATTGAGCAAATAGTCTATTTTGCAGCTGTATCTTTAATAGTAGCTACTCAATCCAATCAAAGGTCTCTGCTGCATTACATTTCTACTTTTCATTATTTCAAGATCAACCCTTTACCTTGCTCTCATGGAGAGACTTGGCTGCATTTGACTAACTTACTGTAAAATGGTGTGTTTAATACTGTAGTTATGAAAAATTGGTAATAGAATTAGTCTAAAAATCAAGAAATTTGCTGAATTATCTAGATACATGTCTACCAAATCTTGGAAAATCTGAAATGCTATTTAAAGTTATTGATGTTAATAACTTCATGTTAATCATCGTTTGATCATACCAAAATAAGTAGACAAATTTATCATGCAGGAGCCGACGGCTGTGTGATCCACCTTGTTGAAAGAAAACCGACTGTTCCTGGTTCTCAAGGTTTGTGTGACATTGCATACAACAAATTGTAATTTTTCAGGATTAAATTACCATAGTTCCTTCAAAACATCCCATTCAGATCCTGTCCAGCCATACATATAATATGTATTGCCATCTGATCGAAAACAGCTGTGTTTTTACATGTATAATAAAGACACCTACATGTTGTAAACAGTTTTGTTACCAAATATAGCACATGTACATGTACATTGTACCGTTACAGTAGAGGAGTAGTCATATGAATGACAAAATTCTCATTTCTGTTTGGTTCTTCATTCACCTGGTTGATATAAATTATCATTGGAATGAAATAGTAAGAGTAACTGTCACTAATAATCAAATCATCAGATGGTGCCAATGGTTCTTCCAGCACTTCCACCAGTTCATCTACTCCAGGAGGTCCTTCTTTTGGTCTGGGTCCTAACATCGTCATGGGAGCATTTTCTATGCCAGTTGATGTTGTTGGTGCTACTCAGGTAATCTTGTCTAAATGTTTAGGTTGGCTATTATTCACATTTACAAGTACATGTACCTGTACAGAACATGTATTTAATACAAATTGTATGTTTCAGTGATTTAAGGTGTAAAATTAACTTGCTCTTTACATGCATCATGTTTTACAGTTTTAATATTACACATACAGGGTATGCATTATGGTGTAGGGTTCAATGCATGCATGTAGCCAACACATATAATTTGTACTACATGTATACTTAATAGTCATTTTTTTGATTATATTACAACTGTAACAGGATAGTTTTGCATTTTGCGGAGGTTTAAAATAACATTCTTGAATTTTGCTCTTCAGCAAATAGTCCAGAGTCTGGTTAATCAACTTGGAGTGGATTCAGCCCAAGCTAATATCAGTACAACATCATCTGTAAGTATATCCCTCACAATGAATAAATGGCTCACTGTTTGCCCTTATATGTTCCAGATACATGGCATGCAATTTTCGTCTCGAATTACTTACACTTACACTGTACATGTTTCTGTAGCTTTAGTTTACAGTGTACATGTAGGTTCTCTTGCATACCCATGGCAGTAATGGCTCCCTCCTAAATAAAAGCTGTCCTTGAATGTTTGCTTGATGATCAATTCAAGTTTGCCATGACTGCTGATTTGGTGGCCAGCTTGACAGATACATTGATTGTTGTTATCTCATGTATGTTTTAACCATGTACACATGATAGCATGTAATAATGATTTATTTTGCAGGATGATGGATCGTCTGTCAATGTTCATATTAACCTTCAAGCAACAACTCAGGTACAGTGTGTACATGTACATGTACTTGTACAAGATAAAATCATTTACAGTCAGTCCTGCCTCTATGTGCTGACATAGTATACAATTTTCTGAACAGAAGTTAGTCACTGAGCAGTTACATAAAGATCTGTCATGTTAATGCTTGATTCCTAAATACAGTTGTAAATGTAAATAATACTTATAACTTTTTAAAGTTCTTCTAAGTATACAAATATTTAGCCCCCACCCCCTCAAAAAAATATTATTAATAATAAGTTCAGTGCTTAGATATGCCAAAAAATTGTAGTAGTGTGTGTATTTCTTTTACATTCAATCAGGTCCTTGTACCAAAGCTAGATGTACTCAGTCAGGGCTCCAAGCTCAAGTTTTTCAGTAATCGCCTTTTGGTGACCTCCCTTGAAAAAATGGTCTTCACTAAGACAAATTTTGTTGGCAAAATATAAGTTTTACTAAGTTTTTCAAAAGACACTCTGTGTCACATTACATGAATTTAATACCATTGACCATGATAAGCCTACACCCACACTGTACCTTGAATTCTTTGGAAGGTTTTTTAGATGCTGTTTGTTCTCTCTTGATTAATAATTCATTTTTTGGCCTGGTAATTAGGAATTTTGTCTCGAGTGTACTTAATGTTCATGCATTTGTTTCTGTTCATCAGCCTGGAAATGATGTGTCCCAGCGGATTAACAGGGCCAGACACTTCATGACAGCTGCATCTTCCTGTCTAAACCGGACTGAGGTAATTCACCCGTTATGAAAGTTCTATGCATATATTATAGAATGGTATTACAGTTGAACCTCGATTATCCGTACCTCAATTATCTGGATTTCTCGATTATCTGGACTTTTTCTCTAGTCCCAATTTTGTCATGAATATTTATTAGTCACGATCAAGATCCATAGCAATATTCTTTTTAAAACTATAGCATTGAAAAGTGCTTTCAAAAGTGAGTTTGTTTTGCTTTTAAAGAGCAAAAGCAGAGCTTGGGCACATCATAACTAGTGAAGAACACTCGAATGAGTTCTGATTGGCTCAGAGTTGAGTGGTTCAAGATGTACAGTAGACCATATTGTTTTCCAAATGATTTGTAAAAGTGCTGTGTCACGTGTTGCTATATTTAAACAGTTCTTCATTAATATTCATATTTTCGATTATCCGGACCCTCGATTATCCGGACTATTTCATTCAGTCCCAGCGAGTCCGGATAATCAAGGTTCGACTGTACAGTGTAATTTGCAATATATACTGGATGCAAAATGAATGTAAACATTTTTGTTTCAATGTTTTGTTGGGAGTCCCAATTTTGGAAATGTATATTTATGTGCTTTTTGGATGACAACTGAAAAGTAATGTCCTGTTAGTAACTGATACAAAAGAAGGGGCTCTGAAGCAACATTGAAGTTACTAACAAGATAATTGTAGAATAATTAGCATAATATTCCCACTCATATTCCATAGCTATCCTCAAAAAAAAAAAAAAAAAAAAAAAGATAAAACATAAAATGGAACTAAACTTAAATATCAACTTAATATTTTATATTTGCTCTACATGCACATTGTATGTAATAATTATTAAGTTCAGAAAATATTTCTTGGGCTGGATTTTGTTCTGCAAGCAAGAGCTCTTTAAGTTGAATCATCTGAAATCAAATCCATTTACTTTACCTTCAACACTTTGTGCCTTCACACATAATTTTAAGTCTTTTTGAACACCTGTCTAGGTACAAAACAATGTAAGTTGTACTTCAGTATGTTTATTATTGATTAAAAAAATGCTGTGCCAATATTTCAGGGTGAGGGTGTGCTTCCTATGGACACATCAGAAACGCCAAGTACCGGTACTGAAAACACCAATCAAACTCAAGGAACCTCCACAGAAGCTGCGAGCCAAACTTCATCCCTTGCTAGGTACAGTACATGTAGTGTGTAATTGTTGAATTTAAGATGTGTTGACTTGTTATGGAAGGCCTTTATCTTAAAACTGTATAACATATAGGATGCAGCAGGGCTGTCAATAAGGGTCTTAACCTGTAACACCTGCTACGGCTGAGTATGTTTGATGGGCCCTTAATTTAACAGGTGAACTTACCTACAGTTGATACAGTTCACTCAAAAGGTAACAAGTTTGTTACAGGTATGAAGATCAAGGCTACATGTGACATAAAACTTAATGACAGCCCTGATGTACATGTAGTGTATGGATTCTCCCTAATCACCAGACTCAATTTTTAAACCTCGAAGAAAGTAGTATGCTGCAGATTTACAATGTTTATCTACAACCTTCTTTATTCAATTACATGTAAAATGATATGAATGAAGACAATTCAGACAGAGAGTGTACATTGTGAATCAGGCTTTGTTCCACACAAGGAGAAATAAAAACAACTTAATAATCATTGTACTGGTGTACAGCTGTAGGCCAAGAATGCATTGCAGATTTGTGATGGTAGCCAGTTGAAACCTTTGATATACAGCCATGAGATGTCATAGAATTGGGTGAACTGGTTTCAGTTGTTTCTCCCCCAAGAGTTATTTTTACAAGTACATTTACCATTGATGTATTCATTAGCTTTAGACAAACAGTGGAAATTGTACATGTACATTGTGTTCGCCACCATGTGATACGATTTCTGTTTATACTTTTTTGACTATTTCCTGACAGCCCGGCAGCCCTGGCACAGATATTGAGAGAAGCAAGAGACTCAATGACATCCATGCAAACAGTACTGGAGAGATATGCTTCTCTTCTGGACACTAACAGGCCTGAGGTACTGCAAGTTGTAACAAGTCTTTTGTAATTTGAATTTATTTGTTGTGTTATTCATGCAAATATCTAGAAGATTTCACTTATTTGTAGACTGAATCACATGGATTAGTAGCTTTTCAAGTCTACGCCATGTACATGTACTGTAAATGATCTAATAAAGGCCGGGGGCGTTTATTAAATTTCAAGGGTCCAAGGGGGGGCGTTTAAAAGATAAGAGGCATTTAAAAGAGAGAGGCGTTTATTTTAATAACTGTAACATGGTAACCTAAATACTGTATGATAATAATCTAAATGACAGAGCTTTAGCAGACTATCAAGTCTGTCTGCTGATAAGTCTAAACCGTCTACAAATCCATAACGGTATATGGTACATACAAAGTGGCGGAAAAGGGTACTGGTAGTTCTTATAGCTCAATGTCAACATCCGAGTCCTCGTCGACCACCATGGTGGGGGGCGTTTATTAGATAGGGGGCGTTTGTTAGAGAGGGGCGTTTAATACAAACTTGTCAGCTTAGGGGGGCGTTAATAAGATAGGAGGCGTTCATTAGAGAGAGGGCGTTTATTAGATCATTTACAGTACTGTAGCTCAAGGCATTGCATTGCTATTTTCAGAGATGGCCACTGGGAACTTAGACTGCTTAAGGCGCATTTAACATACTTATTCATATGGGCACACATGTATATATTAAATTATGAAACATACCGCACAAATCAAATGAATGTTATGATGTTTAAACATCACTGCCCATGGTAGGGAAGAGGGCTTGAAACTAAGGACACCCTTGCATGTACATGTCGGCAACCCACCACCTGGGTCACAGTGGTGTCTGATTAAAGTGTTAACTACCTAGTACCTGTGTTCAAGCACTGCACGTACCATACAATCTGTGCTTTGGTTACAGAGCCAGGATGCCAAATGTACACTTGGCCAAGTATCGCTAACTCTCTTTATGGTATGCGTTTTCTTTAGGACTTGGGTCCATCTGAAGACACCTTACCTGACCGAGTAGCTGAATCATTTCACAATCTTAGCCATGCTTACCATGCCCTGTCAGATTTGACATTCAATTTCCGTGGTCCAGAGCCAAGGCGACCAAGTGTTCTGACATCTCTGTCTCCACACATGCCATCAGTACCCATGCTGTCCAGCTTTGTGGGTGCACCTCAAATGATACGCACACAACAGCCACAGGTATTATTTAGATTGAGAGAAGACTGCTTAATTTTTTAACTGTTAAAAATTAGTACAGTATTTTCCTCGAGTTCCTTTAGTTGCCTCCTTTAACGGATTGTTTTCTCTGTCATCACTAGTATCACTGTAGAAATGGCAATAGTCTCCACAGCCATTCTGTTATAATTGACATGTATATGTCGAAGTTATTGCAACAAAACTGTTGCACTCCATGTACATGCACTTGTGTTCATTCTGACTGTATCTAAATTTGCGAACTACATGTAGTAGCAGACAAGAAATTGCTTTGAGATAAAAACACACAGGTTAAGATTTGCAAAACATGTTTTGGATGGCCACCATCCATCTTCAGTTGCAAATACAAATGAACCGCTAGTCAGTGTGATATAAAAGTGAACTTACAAAGAATATATGAATACTAAAGAACAACATGAATATGAAACACTAGAAAATACAATGGTCAGAAAACAATGTGTATTGTAACACGGAAAATTAAAATGAAAGTGTTAAATTAACATGATTTACTTGCTTGTTTAATGTGTAAGGCCTTCTTGATTTTCAGTTTAAAAGACATGGAGGTGGTGTCAAGGATTGAGAAGCAATTTTCTGAGCACAAAGCTTTGCATGTTTCTTACTCATTGATGTATCTGTATTTGTAGCAAACCCCTGCCAGTTCTGCAGCACCACAGGCCAGCCAGCCAACCCAGCCAACCTTGCCAACTCCAGCTACTCCACAGTTGCCACTGGGAACTAACCAGAACTTAAGAATTCATGTGAATCCTCAAGGTGGAATCTCATTTACTACCATAATATCAAATGTATCTCAAGGTGGAACTGCTGCTGCATCATCGGTCAATTCACAGTCAACACCATCTACTACATCCACTAGTGGAACAAGGATGAGTGCCAGTGCAGACAATGGTGCCGCACGAGAGACTTTTTCAAGCTCCTTTGGGGAGCAACGTTCCTCAGTTGGTACTAACACAAATGGCAGCAGCACCAGTACATCAACGCAGACTTCACAGCCTGGCGTACGGACTCGCATCATAGTAGATGATTTTATTGCATTAATTTCAAATGTTCCAGCTTCCATGGCTGCAGCTGCCGCAGCAGCCCAGGGTCAGATACCACCAGCAATGACCGGGGCTCAGAATCCGGGCTCACAAGGACAAGGTGCAGCAACAGCCACAGCCACAGCAACCACTACAAGTCAGCCACAGCCACAATCACAAACCCAGTCAGTGCCGACACCTGCAGCACAGAGTGCCACCCCAGGGCAGGAGCAAGCAAGACCTCAGGGATTACCAGCAGGACTGTCCATGAATCTTCTCTCTGGCATGCCCACAGCAAATTCAAATCACCCAGACCCATCTTTGCCTTGCCAGTCATTTCATTTTGGGCCACAGGGTCAGCGTGCTCAGTCACAGCAGACCAGCCAGCAGTCGACCCAATCCACTACCAGTACTACCAATACTACTAGTACTCAGGCTGAGACTCCAGTTACTAGCACACCTCAGAGTCAAGCTCCATCTCGGGAGGGAAGTGAACAGACTTCCAACCCTGTTAACCCACCACCTGCACGGGAGAGGCCAAGACCACCACGAGACGAGAGGACAAGAGGTATAGTAAAGAAATTAATAGGGTCTCAATTTTGACTTTCCTGTTGTTTTGGTCTTTATACATATACACATACATAATCTTCTTTGTGCCTACATGTAAGTGGCACATAAGGCTGTCACCATTGTGGTCCAAAGCTGTCTGTCACCTGCCCATCGTTGGATCTGGCTGTTTTGGTCCTTACTGAGGGTTTATTAGTACGGATGTGTAGGTTTCTTACCAAGTCAGTTGACGAAAATTAATGCATTATAGCTGGATCATGCAAGTCTTCTTTTATACAGTTTTTGATAGCCTTTCTTGACAAAAGGAGAACTTCAACACCCACATTAAGAAAAAAGGTTCTCATATTGTGCCACCTTGTTGCAATAAACAAGAACTTGTTATAGGATGGAACTGCTGCACGTATAACGTACTTTAAACAGTGCTGTATTCATTAATGGAAACTACTGTACCTGTAGATCACCTTTACCCACGTAAATTCTTTAGATTTTGGATTCGAAAATCCATGGTATGATTTTTTAACCAACCTGCTAGCCAGATAGTTATTTGATTGTTTGGTTTCCTTGTATTTGCAGCTCGTGAGCGCACAATATCTCCAGCTGATTTACAGGGGATATTGGGAATGATGGCATATGATCAACGCACTGGCGGCGCTCGAGGGCTTTCATCATATTTCCCCAGAGGCTTTAATCCAAGAGGAAGTAGACAGGTACCGTATTGAACAGCGCATGTTCACTTGTGCTTATACAATGATCGCTGTGTCTGCAGGACTGGGGAAGTAAAGGGGATACTGGTAGTGAAATAATCGAGAAAGTTGTAGTAAAAAAATGAGCAAATTATGTCCACCATGTTGAACTAGTTCAGTTCATCACAGGCAATTTTAGATTACTTCACTGCAACTTGTTACAGAGTTCATTTGGAAATTGGGTACTGGGTTACACAACCAGTTATGGTGCAAAATAAACAGGAAAATTGTGGAGACTTTCCCTACAAGCCTCTATTACAACTTACAAAATGGAAGTTTCAAGCGTGAAGTTTGTGCTGATACCCTGATGAATTGAAAGGAGATCGTGTATGTTACTTGGGGAACTGTTTACCTCAAATCGTGAGATGCATTATGCACTGTATGACAAATGGGAGATTTGTGAGAGCTGGCTAGGAACAGTAGGAATAATGAACAGTCATCTTTACCCTGAAAGGAAGAATTTGGGAGCTGCAACATAGTTGAGGAGTACTGTAACCTACATCTCACTGTTTGTTAAAGCTGGCTTCTGTGAACCACCGTGTAATATTTATACTGTGTATTATACAAAACAATCAAATGTCTACATGTTGATGCATGAATTTTGTGTTTTACAGTCAAGTGGACCAATGAGTGGATCAGAAACAAGACGATCAATGATGGATTTCTTAGATACAATAATGTCAGACATTCACAGCCACAGTGAAGGAGGTCAGTGCAGTCATATAATTACAGTGGGCAAGCCATGAAACAGTGGCATAATGGTTAATGCGCAGGTCTCCATGTTGATCGATTCAGGTGGAGTCATTGGTTGGGGTCTGTTGGGTTTTTTTGGGCAAACATTTACTAACATTGCCACAGTACCTTTTTTTGCCAGGATTTTTAATAGAAACTGTCAGGGCAAACCTGGCAAAAGCTGCAATAGACTAGCATTACATTCCAGGGGAGTAGCCTTACTCATAGCTGCTTCATGTTATGGAACTTGTAGTGTTACACTTTCAGTGTACCTGTATATCCCCCTCATTTATCTTGACTCTACTGTTCTAACTCAAGAGAGGAATCAATGGAACATTAAATGTGCTGTTCAGCTAGCTCTTTTGTCAGAGGAGTACATCAGTGTACACTTAATACTTTCAAACTATGTGTATGTGTGTCCTGAATCGCCAATCTCAGGTTATTTTAAGCTGCACTGATGCCATTTGTCTTTAGTTACATGTATGTAGTCATTTAACAAATGGTTTTTTTTTTTTTTTGTCGTTTGCGTCAAATTAGCAGGCCAGACACAGACAATCAACTCTCTGATCCAAACCATGCGAGCAAGTGGGCTGGATATACAAGATGAAGAAGGTTTGTTCTCCACCTTTTGGTACTCTGTATATGGTCCTTGTTTAATACATCCTTAGGTCTAGACGGTCGTCTTTCTAAGTACATCTCTTAAGAGCCCCAAATTATACATGTAGTAATGTATCCAGTTCTACTTGTGCTAATATGCAGTTTGATTTGGCTTTAAAACTGACAACAACTGAGCAGTGACTTTGTTATCTGTTCAAACAAACCAAGGCAGTCCCTTTCTGTTTGTTGTTCCGTTTTAGTTCATGTGATTTTATTCTGATTGCGAATTTTGCCTTCTGATTTAGCCGTGTATTCACGCGTTTGCAAAAGCGTAAAGCAAGCTTACAAACATTGAAGAATTTCTCACTTAAATCGGAAGATAAAGCGGAACTTCAAAGCGTATTGGGATGATCAGATAAGACAGTACCCTCAGACCATTGCTATAGTAGTTACACCTTTTTACTGCTCATTGTGATGCTGTGTCGTTTTATTTGTTAAGGATTAATTGCAGCCCTGTACCAGCGCCTGAGTGCTGTGCTGACAATGGAGGATGTTATGGGTGTGGTTGTAGGTACGTTATACCAGAGTACCATAGTTAGGAAAGTTAGGTCCCCCTTCTGCCTTCCCCTCCTCCTCCCGAAGTTAGAGTAACTCCCCTACCTTGAGGGAAGGGGAGCACTGAGATAGAACTTCAGAAATTATTAGAACTTCAAAAATTATCAGTATAGCCTTAATTTTTCCGTGAAGTAGCTACAGTGCACAGTAGACAGGTCAGAGTAGTGAGAGTTCCTTTGTTCACCTTAATGGCACTGTGACTATAACTGGCACTGTTGTTTTTCGTATAAGTAAACCTTGTTTATATTATTTATTTAGGTTCAGAAGAACCATTTGAACGAATGCAGCCAGCTTTAATGCTGTACGTAAACGAGGACCTTTTGCGTGGAAAAGAAGCCACACACCAGAACATCAGTGTAAGGCTCTACACTTTCTAGCCTTGAGTATGCAGTCCATTCTTAATCATTGTATTATTGTATTAAGGGCTTCGCAGTGATAGTTGAAGTTACCAGGGATAGTGGTGCCTGCAGTTTATTTTCCTGTCAAAATGTGTTTCACTGCAATTGTACAGCAAGCATCCTTTTCCTCTCCTTCTTATGACTGTATTGAAGTCTGACATTGCCGACTTATCACCTGTGACAAGTATTCGACAAGAACTGATTTTTTTCGCTCTTCTACGCTCTCTAGCTTAAACAATGCCATGTAATTCCCCTTACTAGTGTCAATTCCATTCTGATGAGTTGATTATTTCCGTGTTCTCATTACACGATTCTTTGACAATGTATTTACATTAAGGAGAAATAAGGGGTTGATCACATGTGGGAGTAGGATTGGAATATTCGCTCTTGACAACGTGGAACTTAACTACACTAGTATCAGTTGGTGATCGTTGTTCTTTACTGATTTACTGTTGCTTGCCCTCCTTGTAAATCCATGCAGGAAGCAGCAAAGGAATTGACTAAAGAGATTGTGGCTGGTGTTGCCGATTCCCTGGTAAGTGATTGAGCTAATATGTCCACTGCCAGCAAGCTATCAGTGGATCAAACACCACTCTTAAACCCCAATTCTGAAGACTGTAGAATAACAACTGAAAACCGAAGCAATCCATGTATTGCTGTGGTAATTATTTTATCGTTCTTGTCAGTCAAGAGTTTCCTGTAACATATTATTAATTTTTTTCCCGATCTTTAGAGAGTTGCGTCCACAAAAGATGACATTGATATTGTTGAATCAGCACAAAGTTTCCTGGAGCATTACATTGGAAATGCCATAAGCCTGGTTTTACATTCAGGTAAGCACATTACCACCATGCATAAAATGGGGTAGCGCCACTCAATAGTATAGCTTCAGACTGGTTTGGTACATTGAACTTAATACGCGCCCACTACACGAACCACAGAAGGAGTTTGTGTAAAAAGGACCGCCTATAGCGGTTTAATGTACAGTGTATGCAGTACACTGTTCACAGTCCCCTATTTTCCCGTGAGATCGTAGATGTCGATCGTTGAGTTCGACGGGCCGCCATCTTGGTCTCTTGATGCGAGCAAAACTGGGGAGAGTACAAAATGCTCGTGGTTAGGGGTGGTGGCATTTTGTACTCTCCCCAGTTTCGCTCGAATCAAGAGACCAAGATGGCGGCCCGTCGAACTCAACGATCGACATCTGCGATCTCACGGAAAAATAGGGGACTGTGAACAGTCTACGTATGTAACAACCATCTGTATACAAAAACCAAAAATACTGTCCCTGATTACAAGTCGTCATTCGAAGCAGTTAGGGGGCTGTATTTTACCAGAGAGCCCCAGGAGCTACAATGTAGCAGAACACCTCCGGTGCTTCTTCATTATTTCATGCATGGCCGGGAAAGATGGTGATGCCAATCCCGCCGGATCTTGACATTTTTCTTTAAGGTTTCTTTATAACTACTTAAACCGCAGAACACCTGAAGACTGGGTAGATATCAATCCCTTTGTTTCTTTTACTCGTACTTCTGGTAATTGTAGCGTTTAGTTCATATCTTAGTAATCGCTCGTTCAATTTGAATTCATTTCACTCGAACAGAAACTGCTCCACTTACACCACTTGTTGTTTTTGTTCGTACCGTTGCTCTACAGTGTAGTGTCATTGGAATGTTGTGCTAATAGCAGTCACTGCTGGGAGTGTGAAGTTTGTTAATTGTAATCGTTTCTACTGTTAACAGAAGACGAACCGAGGTTTGCAGAGTACTTTCAAGGCCACATGAAAGACATAGCGGCAGAATTCTTTACACTGCTGGTGTTCAGCTACAGGGATGGAATGGATGGAGTGGAGCAAGTTATCAGGAATAGATTGGTAAGCTGGAATTAATAGAATAAATAGCAATATTTAGAGAGGTCCTAGCTTGTTTTCAGGCGGGTCCCCTATCAAGGACGACATGGAATTTGGAATTGTTTGTTTTTCTGGAGTACCCGTAGAAAAACCTTCGGAGCAGGGACGAAAATCAACAACAAACTTAATCCACATATAGCACCAGTCCGGAATTAAACTCGGGCCACGCTTGTGGCAGGCGAGCGCCCTCACCGCTACGCTACCTCTGTTCTCCTGAGATTAATCCCTGCTTGGCCACTATGGGATGTAAAAGGCCGATGTGAAAAGCTACAGATTACTAGGTTAAACGCGAGAAGTGTGAGAAATATACGATCGTTTGATTGAAAAGCTGATGAATGCGTGAAAACACCCCTTTCTCGCCCTTTCATTATCAAAAACCGGCAAAATATTTTCATGTACCAGTACTTGAATGTTTCGACAAGTAACGCAAGGTGTATTTATATTTCACTATTTTGATCTCACCAAATTCTCAGAGCCAACATTGAAACAAATGTGCGGCAATAAGTAAGGAGATTTTAGAACTCAAATGGTCAACGATTTCCGTTATGGTGAACTTGCAGCCACAGTCAAGCTTAACAGCGGACATGAATGAACAGTCACGAGAAATGTTCGTCCAGCTGCTACTCAGGAACATTCGACAGATGTACTACAGCAGAGCTTACTGCGAACCACGACTACAACGCTTTATGATACGCGCTCAGCCCCCCCAGCCGCCTTCACGACCTGAACCTTCTTCACGGCCTCAAGCCTCTTCAGAGCCCCAAGCTCCTTCGAGACCCATGGCTGAGGAAAACCCTGCAGTCGATGAGAAGGTGGATGGGGTAAGGAAACTGTTTTGTGCTTTGAACGTCTTGAGGCAGCTTACGCGTCAGGTTAACGCCTTATATTCACCCTCTGCCTGCTTTACTGGACCTCTTGGCGTTTTAAAAAAACTGATTAAGTTTACCAGACGTCTCCTGACTGTTCAAACACGCTAACAATTGCATTGATACATCAGGCTGTAGACGACGAAATGGACAGTCATGGCTCTGATGACTCGGAGACGTTTACTACTCCCCCCGGATCCATTACAGCAGGCACTGATTCAGACAGGCTGCAGACAGAGTGTCCGGATGGGGAGGAGGCTATGGAGGATGAAGACAGGGATGAAGAGTGGAAGTCCATCATGCCCGAGGTATGTAGTGTTGGCAATGTAGTTTCATTCATAGAGTGATCTTCGTAGATCGTATCGTTACTTCGTGCACAAGTCTCGATTGATGTCGGTATGTTTATAGGGAGGGAACATTTTTGTCTTCTTTGTAGGAATGGATCCCTGTTATCACAACAGATATTGTACGGCAGAGGAGAGTGTCACCCCAGGCACCTTTCAGTGATGCTTATATCAATGGACTACCACCCAAGAGGCGTAAGGTATGCGTTGTGATATTGAAGTTATCGTAGCCTTAAAGTCACATGCTTACATGTGTAAACCGAATCCCTTGTGAGTTTCTGGTAACACAAGTTGAAATTCCTTATCTTTCTCGGAAAATTCTTTCGACCTTGTCTTAGTAAACATTCAAAATAATTCTTTGGCTTATTTTCGCCGTTTAAACTCATTTAACCTCGTGTCATCTTGCATGGGAGAGCTACTTTAAGTACTGACCATTTGATCACTTGTTTAGATGGTAGATCAGCGAGGCATTACCCCAAGTGAAGACAGCATTGGTGACGCACTGAAGCATGCCGCTGCCGCCACCGGAGCCACGCCTCTCACCAGTCTGGAAGGTTAGCTTACTAAAAAAACATCCAGAGCTTAACAGATAGATTCCATGTTGCCGTGCGTCTGTTCAGTAATTAGAAAGCTTAAGCAATGACGACCGACCCTGAGGACTACGCCTAGCAAGAAATAAATTTATATTTTACCTGCATGCGAAATTTGCAATTGTTTAGATCTGTTCAGTGCGACTATTCGTCTCAGAACTTGCTCAAGCTAAATGTGTAACGCCAGTGTTCAATTCTAAATTACTATACGAAACATTAGCCACCGTCGTTCGCGTTCTCCAAAATACGCAGAGGTTAATAGACATTTAACGTTGTTGCTGCATATGCAGAGGACGGCAAAGTAATGTACAAAGACTTACAACACACGTGCGTAGCCATTGTTCTACTCATTAACCCTTTTGTTTGGTGGCGTTGTTGTTGCCGTTGCCGTCGTGGTTTACCTTAGCTCACTATTGATCACAGATGACGTCAAAATGTGGTTAGAACAAAAAAGTGATACCCGATCAATAGGTCTTGAAACATTTTCCAATCAGTGGAATACGCTCTAGGTCTCCTTCCCATTGTGGGATTCATTATTGTCTGTCATTCCCTCTTTGGATTTTCTTTGTAGTTTAAAGCGTTTGTTTGCTTTGTCGTTAAATGCAGCAGTTACTTAATGAATATAGAACAGGCTCCTGATTTAGAATGGATCCTTTTTATCTCATCCCTTTGCAGATCTCTCCAAAGCCGCCAAGGGAAATCGTAAACTCCACGGAGCGTACCGCCGAGAGATTAAGAAAGAAGTCAAGACAAGACTGGAAAAAGACACCGACTACCGTCCCGATAGATTTCCTCAGACAAGAGACTATTTTGACAAAGACACGCAGAGGAAGTAGACCCGAGAGAACAGCGGGCCAAACTTAGAATTTTTTGAAGGTACTCTGCCGCGGGCGGAATCGGTCATCTTAGTGTTTGACCACCCATCCGCGCGACTCGCCTGGAGCAGAGGAGGTTTTTCGTATTGAAGTTGAAAATCGTTAAATGAAGGTGCTTTTTCAAGCTAACCTGATGGACCTTCGATCTTTGTGAGAACAAGAGCTGTGTTTCGGTGGACAAGTTCAGAACTTGCACAGATTTATGAGTCAAACGTTTTCAAATTTTCTTTTGCTTTCTTTGTTGGTTTTTTCCTTTTTTTTTTTTCTTTTTTGTCTTCCTGTTTGACTTGTATAAGCACACTTCTCAAGTCAGTTCTTACTTAGCCTTAAACCTGAACTTTTGGTAGGTACAGTATTCAAGATTGAATCTAGAATGGCGAAAATCGAATAAATGAATGGTGCTTGTAATTAGACACCGTGCGCATATATCTTTTTAACTAAGCACGAGGTCCGTACTGGGAAAATATTGGCCCTCGGTCTTGACAGTACGGACCGAGGTCCGTACAAAAGAAGACCGAGGGCTGACTTTCTCCCAGTACGGTCCCGAGTAAACCTGTTGATAAGAAACTTATTACACGACTGGAAATGTTTAGGAAAAAAATGCCACGATCACGGAGTCTTTTATGTCAAAGCAAGTTCTTCCAGAAACATAAGCCATAAAACTACCAGAAAATCTTTAAGAATTATTTTATAGGATCATTTGGGGTATTGCACGGTCCAATACTTAGAGAATGTTGGACCGGCAATGGGGCAATCTGGTTGGTTGATTTTAGTTATATTTGACCTCTGAACTAACTTAGTCGGGTAATAATCAATCGTAATTCCTCAAAATGTTATGTGGAACTTCCATTCTGGAGCTTGACCCAACCTGTTCAGCAGTGACGGTCGTGGGCAGAAATATTTTCTTCTTAGTCTTTCTGCACAATGCTACTTCCAGTTGCGATTACGAGATTGTTGCCAGTAGACTCTTGAACAGGGATTGTAAGGTCTTTTAACCCCTAATGTATGACCGTTCGAATGGAGCTAACGAAATCGAGAAGTGCTTTCAGGAGGTACTGTTCGTTTCTAGTCTTATTCTGCATAGTTAGTCTTTTAAAGAAGTTTTCTTTTTTGAACCTTGGCATTCTTCGGAGCAAAAGGCAAGTTGTGTTTTATAGCTGTGTTACGAAGGGCGCAAGTGTTCGTGGTAACCAAATTTGTAGCAGTGAAGACTGATGCTGGGGCTGTAGACAAAGAGTTATGGTTAGGCCTGCAGTTACGCACTGTTAATTCGTTATCTCAAAACCTAGGCCTGCGTTACACAGGGAAGTAAGTGTTGTTAATTAATCAGTCAAGACTTGTGAGTTTATTAAGAACTGTGTATCGCTTGCCAGGACGGTTGAAAGTATATGGTAGAAAGGTTCTACTACAATCGACTACACTAGATAAGAACGGAAACGGCAATTGAAATAAATCACTACCGCAGTCATGTTATGTTTGTTTTTTCTTACCGCTGTACGATGTGAACTCTGTTGGGAGTAGACTGCAAAGCAGCCGTATTTTTTTGCGAACGTGCGCAGTCTTCGAGCGGAAGCTCTAGAGTGAGTGAAAACGGTGGGTCTAACTGCGGAGAGCGTCCAACGAAACGCGAAAAATGACTGTTTTGTAGTCTAGAGGGACAGTCCATTGTATTATTCAATTAGCCGAAGCCTAGGCACCTAAAACCGTGGTTAAAAGGCGCATGATAGTCCATGATAGTTGATTCTGTCCTTACCATCATCAAGTATCACATTGTGTGGGCAAACGGGAAAACTATCATGGACTATCATGAAGAATTTGAACAAGCTCAAAGTGAATGATGATTGAAGATAGTCTATGATAGTGAGACGAGGGTCGTTACTCATCCTCAGCCTTCACGTGTTTAAGCCTCACGCTTGGTGAACGCAAAGTGGTCGAAAAGGGAGGCTAAACGCAATTTAATGCTCCGGGCTAGTCGTTAAGGAAAACGGAACCAAACGCCCCCCGAGTCCAATTCTCTAATTTTTAGAATGTGAGCGCAAACTAATTGCCCATTTAAAACAGCTAACTGCAACTCCAGCCTGCCAGTTTTAGTTTCTGCATCAGATTCACATTTTCTTGTTTTTAAACCACTCAACTTCAAACTCGACAATATGTAAAATTAAAATGTTTATCCTACTTAAAAACCGGCTGTAACTATTTTATGTTTTACAAGTAAATTATAACGTCGCTTTCGACTGTGATCAAACGAGCAGAGTACAGCCTACCTTTATTAACAGCTACAATTTAAACCTTCTGTCCCGGTCGAAATATTCATCACTACTTCCGAGACTTCAATGATAGATGAATAAGACAAACTCGACCTAGTTGATCATTTTCTACATTCTCATCATCTTGAGTTATTGTAAGGAGAATCTAGATGTGCATCGCTGTAAGGGTATAACAAGTCCGAAAGCTTGATATCAATTCAGATATCTCATTAACTACGCGGGAGAGCCGTACTGGGAGAATATCGGCCCGAGGTTTGGACAGTACCAAACACTTTAATATATGCTAACACCTTTCGCACTATAAACCAACATCTCGAGTGTTATTTTCTTTTCTTTTCTTGATAATGGAGTCAATATGACTTCGAAATGTCGGAGTTTACTTTCACTTCTTTTCGTAATCGATTGTATTTCCAAATGTTTTCTTATCAGTTTTAATTTGTCCCATACAAAATTGTGTCCTGTTTGCATAAAGGTGACAGCTGCAAAAAGGCAAACACAATTAACAGAAAGAAACATTTCTGAGCACTGAAGAGATGCTGGAAAGACGATTTACAGCGAAGTATTTCGTATACTTATTTGTGTGAAATATTACGAAAAGTCCTAGTATCCTGTTTGGCCATCTACCCATGACACGGAGAGGCACTCTTCTGAAGATATAAAGACAGTGTTAAAAACAATAATGATTTCATTAAGGTTTCAACCTGTCAGAAGCACATAATTTCGGCTCATTTTCATTAATATAATTAACAAAGCAAGCTTGATTGCACGATTAACAACAGATGAGTTGTTTAACATTCTAGAAACAATAGAAAAATTAATAAAGCATGTTTCTTTTATTCACAGCATTTGAACGAAGTTTTAGACCGTGATATCAACTTGAATTTACCCTTTACATGTAACACTTTCCACTTAAATTTGTTATGGCTGTATTTGTGGTTGTTTAAAATGTGTGGATTTTAATAGCCCATTTCCGAGTTACGTTTTGCTTTTGTGTGAAGACGAGTCTTCGTACCAAACCCCTCACATGAAAATGAGTTTGATTTCCATGCAAAAACCCGTAGGGGGAACCAGTTTTTCATATGAATGGTTTCCCAGCAAGACTCGTTTTCACACAGATGCAAAAGGCAACTCGGAAATGGGCAATTTTTGACAGATTTTGTTCATTCTATACCTTTATCTGGTCGGTAACGTTTGTTTTTTTGAATGCCCAAGAATAAAGAGTGCAAGATCGATGTCTTTTTCATCATTAGCAACACTGGCTTAATTAAAAAGTTCATTCAAACTATCGTAATTAATTAATGTGCCCATATATAATTCATCAAGCACAAAACGGAGATGATTAACTTTTACTAGGTCTAGTATCTACTAGTTTTCATTGGTCCAATGAGACCATTTTTGGAATTAAAAAAAACACGTTACTGATAATGACTTCGCAACGGAGTTAATTGTAGTTCCATTTTAAGGCTAAGTAACCCGACTTAAGAGCTTAAATGACTTAGTGTCATCAAAATAGTACTAATAGCGATGAAACCTTAGTGCTGAAGAACTGTAAACGGTTACTGCGACAACTTTGATCAGATTGGCTCAAATTATTTCGCTACATTGATGGAAGGCAGAGTTAATATTCAGAGTGGAATCAGTTACCTTTGCTTTTGGCTGTGCTTCTTTCATTTTGTCTCCACAGAAGGTAATCTAACCTATCTGTAGCTTCTGAACTAGGTAGTCAGCGTAAGCGGTAATTGAAAAAATTACTGAGATTTTGTTTCTCGTAAATATTTCAACATCAAAAATTTGAAATTTTGCTTTTGGCGTTGTTTGTTTGTTTGTTTTTTTTCGAAACGATACCTTTATGAGGTTTAGTTTTTCATGATATTACCTGCCTTTTGCAAGTGGATATATGAAGGTCATTCGCGCTTTTACATTACTTGTCTATATAATTCTTCTGGCTTTTCGTATAAACTCGTTTTGGCTCATCGCATGCTAGAAGAATGAGAAGGGGTTTTTATTACACAGTTAGCAATTTAAATAGGTACCGCTAGTTAACTGCAAAGGATGAATTAATTATAAGAGGTAAGATAGGAAGTTTTGGTTGTGTTCGAAAAGTATTCACATTTCTAACAAAAGTGAAGTAATATTTGTGAAGTTTGCTTCGGTACAAAGTAATTGAACTTGAATATTTTCAACAACACGTCAAGAGGATTTGTTGACGTTGGGAGCCTGCACTTCTATGGGAAAATAGTTAGCTATTCAGGAAGGCAACAATTTCAGTTAAAAACTAGAACTCGTGTTCTTGTTATCGCAGAAATTTTGGAGCCATCGCTGGGGCCTCAGTGTTAATCGCTTAATTGATTGAGGCAATTTCTGTTACAAAATGGACGAGTAAATTGAGGTCACCAAGAATGTATATCGCTAACTTAACCAAATTGCAAGCGAAGAAAGGGAGAAACGGTCAAGATCTAAGCTTGTCAGAGGGTTACTTTAAATACCTGTTCAAAAACCGTTCATACTTGCCGAGAATAGGATACACAGGATGTCTTGCGGTAGGTAGAAAGTTTTTAGATGTTGAAAACAATGAATCCAAATGACATAAAAGTTGTCTAATTAACCGCAGTAGTAAGGCCAGTAACAGTAAACGTCTTTTCCAGAATATGGTCCTTATATCTTTTGCTTGACGGATCGCTGTCGAACTCTTCAGTTCAGAGATGTTTATCCAGATAGAGTTTTTAATTCGAGCATCATCAAGGTCTCAACTGTACAAAGCGAAGACGACTGTCAACTGGAGTGCTATTTTCACGTTGCTTGCAAATCGTACAACCTTGGTCCACCGACTGAACAAGGGCGTGTCTGCGAATTAAGCAGTTCTCGTCATATTTTTCATCCGGATCATCTTATCCCGCGTTCCAATTTCATTTACTGTCCGTCTGTGGTGAGTTCGTTAGCCTTTAGTGAACAATAAGTAGCCCCTAAGTAACGGCCTATGAAATAAAACAAACCAAGCTCATCGAAATTTCGTTTAGAATTCAGTATTGTTATTTATCATCTCTAAAATTCGGTATTGCATATTTATGTAGCCATGTAATGCAAATAGACCATTTTACAGATGTCTGCGTGGTGATCTGGCCTTTGAATGGCAGCGAGGCTGCAGGTGACCTTGTTTTGACACAGACCTTACTGCTTTTGTTGTGTAAATCAAGTTGTTCGTATGCTCACTAGTTGGTATTCAAATGAAAAAAGCAGAGAGGTCACCTCCCGCCTCGCTTGCAGTCATGGCNTCGTAAACTCCACGGAGCGTACCGCCGAGAGATTAAGAAAGAAGTCAAGACAAGACTGGAAAAAGACACCGACTACCGTCCCGATAGATTTCCTCAGACAAGAGACTATTTTGACAAAGACACGCAGAGGAAGTAGACCCGAGAGAACAGCGGGCCAAACTTAGAATTTTTTGAAGGTACTCTGCCGCGGGCGGAATCGGTCATCTTAGTGTTTGACCACCCATCCGCGCGACTCGCCTGGAGCAGAGGAGGTTTTTCGTATTGAAGTTGAAAATCGTTAAATGAAGGTGCTTTTTCAAGCTAACCTGATGGACCTTCGATCTTTGTGAGAACAAGAGCTGTGTTTCGGTGGACAAGTTCAGAACTTGCACAGATTTATGAGTCAAACGTTTTCAAATTTTCTTTTGCTTTCTTTGTTGGTTTTTTCCTTTTTTTTTTTTCTTTTTTGTCTTCCTGTTTGACTTGTATAAGCACACTTCTCAAGTCAGTTCTTACTTAGCCTTAAACCTGAACTTTTGGTAGGTACAGTATTCAAGATTGAATCTAGAATGGCGAAAATCGAATAAATGAATGGTGCTTGTAATTAGACACCGTGCGCATATATCTTTTTAACTAAGCACGAGGTCCGTACTGGGAAAATATTGGCCCTCGGTCTTGACAGTACGGACCGAGGTCCGTACAAAAGAAGACCGAGGGCTGACTTTCTCCCAGTACGGTCCCGAGTAAACCTGTTGATAAGAAACTTATTACACGACTGGAAATGTTTAGGAAAAAAATGCCACGATCACGGAGTCTTTTATGTCAAAGCAAGTTCTTCCAGAAACATAAGCCATAAAACTACCAGAAAATCTTTAAGAATTATTTTATAGGATCATTTGGGGTATTGCACGGTCCAATACTTAGAGAATGTTGGACCGGCAATGGGGCAATCTGGTTGGTTGATTTTAGTTATATTTGACCTCTGAACTAACTTAGTCGGGTAATAATCAATCGTAATTCCTCAAAATGTTATGTGGAACTTCCATTCTGGAGCTTGACCCAACCTGTTCAGCAGTGACGGTCGTGGGCAGAAATATTTTCTTCTTAGTCTTTCTGCACAATGCTACTTCCAGTTGCGATTACGAGATTGTTGCCAGTAGACTCTTGAACAGGGATTGTAAGGTCTTTTAACCCCTAATGTATGACCGTTCGAATGGAGCTAACGAAATCGAGAAGTGCTTTCAGGAGGTACTGTTCGTTTCTAGTCTTATTCTGCATAGTTAGTCTTTTAAAGAAGTTTTCTTTTTTGAACCTTGGCATTCTTCGGAGCAAAAGGCAAGTTGTGTTTTATAGCTGTGTTACGAAGGGCGCAAGTGTTCGTGGTAACCAAATTTGTAGCAGTGAAGACTGATGCTGGGGCTGTAGACAAAGAGTTATGGTTAGGCCTGCAGTTACGCACTGTTAATTCGTTATCTCAAAACCTAGGCCTGCGTTACACAGGGAAGTAAGTGTTGTTAATTAATCAGTCAAGACTTGTGAGTTTATTAAGAACTGTGTATCGCTTGCCAGGACGGTTGAAAGTATATGGTAGAAAGGTTCTACTACAATCGACTACACTAGATAAGAACGGAAACGGCAATTGAAATAAATCACTACCGCAGTCATGTTATGTTTGTTTTTTCTTACCGCTGTACGATGTGAACTCTGTTGGGAGTAGACTGCAAAGCAGCCGTATTTTTTTGCGAACGTGCGCAGTCTTCGAGCGGAAGCTCTAGAGTGAGTGAAAACGGTGGGTCTAACTGCGGAGAGCGTCCAACGAAACGCGAAAAATGACTGTTTTGTAGTCTAGAGGGACAGTCCATTGTATTATTCAATTAGCCGAAGCCTAGGCACCTAAAACCGTGGTTAAAAGGCGCATGATAGTCCATGATAGTTGATTCTGTCCTTACCATCATCAAGTATCACATTGTGTGGGCAAACGGGAAAACTATCATGGACTATCATGAAGAATTTGAACAAGCTCAAAGTGAATGATGATTGAAGATAGTCTATGATAGTGAGACGAGGGTCGTTACTCATCCTCAGCCTTCACGTGTTTAAGCCTCACGCTTGGTGAACGCAAAGTGGTCGAAAAGGGAGGCTAAACGCAATTTAATGCTCCGGGCTAGTCGTTAAGGAAAACGGAACCAAACGCCCCCCGAGTCCAATTCTCTAATTTTTAGAATGTGAGCGCAAACTAATTGCCCATTTAAAACAGCTAACTGCAACTCCAGCCTGCCAGTTTTAGTTTCTGCATCAGATTCACATTTTCTTGTTTTTAAACCACTCAACTTCAAACTCGACAATATGTAAAATTAAAATGTTTATCCTACTTAAAAACCGGCTGTAACTATTTTATGTTTTACAAGTAAATTATAACGTCGCTTTCGACTGTGATCAAACGAGCAGAGTACAGCCTACCTTTATTAACAGCTACAATTTAAACCTTCTGTCCCGGTCGAAATATTCATCACTACTTCCGAGACTTCAATGATAGATGAATAAGACAAACTCGACCTAGTTGATCATTTTCTACATTCTCATCATCTTGAGTTATTGTAAGGAGAATCTAGATGTGCATCGCTGTAAGGGTATAACAAGTCCGAAAGCTTGATATCAATTCAGATATCTCATTAACTACGCGGGAGAGCCGTACTGGGAGAATATCGGCCCGAGGTTTGGACAGTACCAAACACTTTAATATATGCTAACACCTTTCGCACTATAAACCAACATCTCGAGTGTTATTTTCTTTTCTTTTCTTGATAATGGAGTCAATATGACTTCGAAATGTCGGAGTTTACTTTCACTTCTTTTCGTAATCGATTGTATTTCCAAATGTTTTCTTATCAGTTTTAATTTGTCCCATACAAAATTGTGTCCTGTTTGCATAAAGGTGACAGCTGCAAAAAGGCAAACACAATTAACAGAAAGAAACATTTCTGAGCACTGAAGAGATGCTGGAAAGACGATTTACAGCGAAGTATTTCGTATACTTATTTGTGTGAAATATTACGAAAAGTCCTAGTATCCTGTTTGGCCATCTACCCATGACACGGAGAGGCACTCTTCTGAAGATATAAAGACAGTGTTAAAAACAATAATGATTTCATTAAGGTTTCAACCTGTCAGAAGCACATAATTTCGGCTCATTTTCATTAATATAATTAACAAAGCAAGCTTGATTGCACGATTAACAACAGATGAGTTGTTTAACATTCTAGAAACAATAGAAAAATTAATAAAGCATGTTTCTTTTATTCACAGCATTTGAACGAAGTTTTAGACCGTGATATCAACTTGAATTTACCCTTTACATGTAACACTTTCCACTTAAATTTGTTATGGCTGTATTTGTGGTTGTTTAAAATGTGTGGATTTTAATAGCCCATTTCCGAGTTACGTTTTGCTTTTGTGTGAAGACGAGTCTTCGTACCAAACCCCTCACATGAAAATGAGTTTGATTTCCATGCAAAAACCCGTAGGGGGAACCAGTTTTTCATATGAATGGTTTCCCAGCAAGACTCGTTTTCACACAGATGCAAAAGGCAACTCGGAAATGGGCAATTTTTGACAGATTTTGTTCATTCTATACCTTTATCTGGTCGGTAACGTTTGTTTTTTTGAATGCCCAAGAATAAAGAGTGCAAGATCGATGTCTTTTTCATCATTAGCAACACTGGCTTAATTAAAAAGTTCATTCAAACTATCGTAATTAATTAATGTGCCCATATATAATTCATCAAGCACAAAACGGAGATGATTAACTTTTACTAGGTCTAGTATCTACTAGTTTTCATTGGTCCAATGAGACCATTTTTGGAATTAAAAAAAACACGTTACTGATAATGACTTCGCAACGGAGTTAATTGTAGTTCCATTTTAAGGCTAAGTAACCCGACTTAAGAGCTTAAATGACTTAGTGTCATCAAAATAGTACTAATAGCGATGAAACCTTAGTGCTGAAGAACTGTAAACGGTTACTGCGACAACTTTGATCAGATTGGCTCAAATTATTTCGCTACATTGATGGAAGGCAGAGTTAATATTCAGAGTGGAATCAGTTACCTTTGCTTTTGGCTGTGCTTCTTTCATTTTGTCTCCACAGAAGGTAATCTAACCTATCTGTAGCTTCTGAACTAGGTAGTCAGCGTAAGCGGTAATTGAAAAAATTACTGAGATTTTGTTTCTCGTAAATATTTCAACATCAAAAATTTGAAATTTTGCTTTTGGCGTTGTTTGTTTGTTTGTTTTTTTTCGAAACGATACCTTTATGAGGTTTAGTTTTTCATGATATTACCTGCCTTTTGCAAGTGGATATATGAAGGTCATTCGCGCTTTTACATTACTTGTCTATATAATTCTTCTGGCTTTTCGTATAAACTCGTTTTGGCTCATCGCATGCTAGAAGAATGAGAAGGGGTTTTTATTACACAGTTAGCAATTTAAATAGGTACCGCTAGTTAACTGCAAAGGATGAATTAATTATAAGAGGTAAGATAGGAAGTTTTGGTTGTGTTCGAAAAGTATTCACATTTCTAACAAAAGTGAAGTAATATTTGTGAAGTTTGCTTCGGTACAAAGTAATTGAACTTGAATATTTTCAACAACACGTCAAGAGGATTTGTTGACGTTGGGAGCCTGCACTTCTATGGGAAAATAGTTAGCTATTCAGGAAGGCAACAATTTCAGTTAAAAACTAGAACTCGTGTTCTTGTTATCGCAGAAATTTTGGAGCCATCGCTGGGGCCTCAGTGTTAATCGCTTAATTGATTGAGGCAATTTCTGTTACAAAATGGACGAGTAAATTGAGGTCACCAAGAATGTATATCGCTAACTTAACCAAATTGCAAGCGAAGAAAGGGAGAAACGGTCAAGATCTAAGCTTGTCAGAGGGTTACTTTAAATACCTGTTCAAAAACCGTTCATACTTGCCGAGAATAGGATACACAGGATGTCTTGCGGTAGGTAGAAAGTTTTTAGATGTTGAAAACAATGAATCCAAATGACATAAAAGTTGTCTAATTAACCGCAGTAGTAAGGCCAGTAACAGTAAACGTCTTTTCCAGAATATGGTCCTTATATCTTTTGCTTGACAGATCGCTGTCGAACTCTTCAGTTCAGAGATGTTTATCCAGATAGAGTTTTTAATTCGAGCATCATCAAGGTCTCAACTGTACAAAGCGAAGACGACTGTCAACTGGAGTGCTATTTTCACGTTGCTTGCAAATCGTACAACCTTGGTCCACCGACTGAACAAGGGCGTGTCTGCGAATTAAGCAGTTCTCGTCATATTTTTCATCCGGATCATCTTATCCCGCGTTCCAATTTCATTTACTGTCCGTCTGTGGTGAGTTCGTTAGCCTTTAGTGAACAATAAGTAGCCCCTAAGTAACGGCCTATGAAATAAAACAAACCAAGCTCATCGAAATTTCGTTTAGAATTCAGTATTGTTATTTATCATCTCTAAAATTCGGTATTGCATATTTATGTAGCCATGTAATGCAAATAGACCATTTTACAGATGTCTGCGTGGTGATCTGGCCTTTGAATGGCAGCGAGGCTGCAGGTGACCTTGTTTTGACACAGACCTTACTGCTTTTGTTGTGTAAATCAAGTTGTTCGTATGCTCACTAGTTGGTATTCAAATGAAAAAAGCAGAGAGGTCACCTCCCGCCTCGCTTGCAGTCATGGCCAGGTACCTAAGCACACAACTGTAAAATGGCCTATTAGAATGTCCAAGATGTCACAACGTTACTCACTTTGGAGAAAAATTACGAAATGAAAACTACTTATGGTATTATAGATTATTTCTTTCAGAGATTCACACCATGGAGCACTCTAGCCTTTAGTTTCTAATGAAATTTGGTTACTCGAGTTTATAGAATATATCGTTACCTTTGATTTGGATAGGACTTGTGCAAACCTCCATGCCCCGACAACAAAACCTGTTTTCCCGATAGCCAAGGACATTCCTGTTTCTGTACGGATCCTGGCTTTCAAGGACGGACATGCAGTGAAGGTACATTTTTTATGCGAAGTCTGGAACCAGAAAATCCCCGTAAACCGTAATCGGATTTTCGGAGACTTTCTGAACCTCTTCCGAACTTAGAACGCCACAAATTCTCGGTCCCAGACCTCCCCCAATTTGACGGCATTTAAAATTCAAAATGGCCGTCAAGAAACCCAAAACGTTTCAGCGATAAAGGTAAGATTATCTTTTTATCGTTTAATACTAGTTGCGCCACTCTCTTAAGTGGTATCCCAAGGAATGTCCCACTTGTGACTTGTATTTTCTTGTTATACACACCCGCCGCGCCTTTGGGTTGCTTCATATTTCAAGAAATTAACAATTGTACTGAATTTGGTGTCAATTATAGATACTGATGAATGCTCAACTGGTGCGCATGACTGTGATGCAAATGCGCGGTGCACGAATAACGCAGGCTCATTTACTTGTACCTGCGAGGAAGGCTATGAAGGAAACGGAAAAACGTGTCAAGGTGATGACTATTAACACAAAATACTTATGCCCCGTTTACGAGTAACTAGGGTAACCCTAGCACTAGGGTTACCCTAGACAGGGTAAAATATCCCAGACAGCTGAATATCTTTCTTTAGTTTGGGGTG